TTTTAGTAGAGACGGGGTTTCACCATGTTGACCAGGATGGTCTCGATCTCTTGACCTCGTGATCCACCCGCCTCGGCCTCCCAAAGTGCTGGGATTACAGGCTTGAGCCACCGCACCCGGCTTCTACTTTTTTTTTAATTAAAAAAATTATAGCCAGGCACGGTAGCTGGCTTAAATATTATATTAATATTTATAAATAAAATATAAGTATTAAAAATAAGCAACAGATGACAGGAAATTGCTTGTCTAACATAGTGGGTATGTTTCACCCAGGTATAATAAACTGTTTCCCAAAGCGTGTTTGGTGAAAAGACCACGTCCAGTGAGGAGAGGCCATTTTGTTTTAAATGTACCACCATGAATACAAACAAGTGAACTAGAAGGTCGCCACACTACTGCAAAATGTGCTAAAAAAAAATTAACAGACCTCAGCATAATGAAAAAGGAGAGAAAGTGCATTCTTTTCTTAAAGAACTCTGCTAATTGTATACAGGTCAACTCAAGTATTAAAGAGTAGCATTTAGGATGTCAAATCATTGTTTACCTGAAGCATGGACTTGGGGTGAGGCAGATCTTCTCCTTGATAAATTTTAATATATGCCTTAAAATATAAACATAAAAACTGCTATAAAAATGTTACTCTGTCATATCTTACTCATATTTAATTTTTAGAAAGTGACCATACAACTGCATTTTCCTTAAGACTTAGAACAACCACCAGGAATTAGCAAAAACACACCACACACCTTTGAATGCATGTTAGCATTTTTAGTTAACTAAAAATGTTCTCAAGCAGCACAAGCCTACAGAGGCTAGGATTCCCATCCAGCTCCCCATGCACGCTGGCCTCACCACTACCTGTGGGCAGAGTGACCATCCGCCTTGAGGCAGTCGTGTCACATCTAGGTGCCGTCTCCTCCTACTCACAGCAACTTCCTAACCACCTCCTGTCCACACCATCTTCCTTGAGGAACAATCTTCCTTTAGTCACAGTTAATTGCTCCTCTAAGAGAGTGCAAAGAACATCCATTTGGTTCTTAGACCAATACTGCCACCCAATGGCCCACTCCTGGAAGGACACTGAGGTCTCTGAAAATGCCTCTCACTGTCTCCCCCAGAAAACTTTCTCTTAAGTTTCAAAATATTTAAATTCAAGTTGATTTACAAGTTAGATCAGCTTTACCAAAAATCAAACATTTTAATAATTAAAACCCGTATTTACCTTAAAATACTCCAATAGTCCCCGACAGGTGACCTTTGAGCCATTGATCTCCTTTTCCATTAACTTAGATGGGTTTAATACATACGGTATCAGTACCTGTAACTGTTCTTTGAATTCACCAGCAATATCTGTTCACAGGACCACAGAGAAGGAAAAAATAAGCCAAACAGCCTTATTCAAGCAAGGTGAACACACAATGCAATCTTCCCAGTGTAATTCTTTTAACATTGGTTATTGAAAGTGGGAGAACAGCTGGGTGCGGTGGCTCAGGCCTGTAATCCCAGCACTTTGGGAGGCCAAGGCAGATGGATCGCCTGAAGTCAGGAGTCTGAGACCAGCCTGACCAACATGGTGAAACCCCGTCTTCACTAAAAATATAAAAACTAGCCAGGTGTGGTGGCAGGTGCCTGTAATCCTAGTTACTCAGGAGGCTGAGGCAGGAGAATCGCATGAACCCAGGAGGTGGAGGTTGCAGTGAGCTGAGATCGCACCATTGCACTCCAGCTTGGGCAACAAGAGTGAAATTCTGTCTCAAAAAAAAAAAAAAAGAAAGTGGGAGTGAAGGGGTCCCCGACTATGGGGTTTTTTTTGGTTTTGTGGAGTTTTTGTTTGTTTGTTTGTTTTTGAGACTAAGTCTCACTCCGTCGCCAGGCTGGAGTGCAGTGGTATGATCTTGGCTCACTGCAACCTCCACCTCCCAGGTTCATGAGATTCTCCTGCCCCCAGCCTCCCAAGTATCAGGGACTACAGGCACACATCACCACACCGGGCTGATTTTTGTATTTTTAGTAGAGATGGGGTGGTTTCACCATGTTGGCCAGGATGGTCTCGATCTCCTGACCGCGTAATCTACCCGCCTCGGCCTCCCAAAGTGCTGAGATTACAGGCGTGAGCTGCTGTGCCCAACCTCCAGACTATGTTTTGACACTTTCTGGCTATGACCAAGTTGCTGATAGGTCTCTGTCCCAATGTACCTTCATTTTTCTCCTTCCCCACGGTAGTATAAAGTCTTCTCTAATTCAAAATAGAATACTATATGCAGAATATCCTTTGTGATATCCGGTCTGCTCCTTAGCCTTTTAAGAAATTTCACTTTTTAAAGAATGTCATTAACAAGGTCTTCAACAAGTCAATTTTCAACCTCTCAAGTTGTCTCAGTCCTCGACAACGCCCTCACACTACTCCTTTAAATCGTTAAGAAATCATGGGTCATCCATTTGATTTATTCTTGTTAATTTTTTTAATGTTAAAAGAAGAAGTACCTGTGCCTCATTATCTTGATTTTCTATTATCTCCTCAGAGACCCTCTGGACCACCCCAAAATGAAAAGACCACTAATTAAAGAAAGGTGACAGATTCTCTGCAGCTTCTACAAGGTTCCCATGGAGAGATCAGGAGAGCTGCTAAACAGAGCTCTTTTCTCAAAGTAAGAATTACTAGCTGGTCCAACTACAAAGACACGGGAGAATTAAAATACAGAAAAGCTGATGTACATAATCTTCTAACATCTTCTTGGGTTCCCAACTATCAATGAAAAAAAGCAGGTAGGAGCTCACAACAAAGTAAGAACTCTTCAATGCTCTACCAACCTGACTATAATATGAAAAATGAAACTCTAAAATTTCAAGAAAAAAGTGGGAAAAATACTTTATAACCTTGTAGTGAAAAAGTATAAAAGTGTACATAATAGGCCATCTGTACACATTCGCATTTGCTTTCATATACTAAAGAAACTCTGAAAGCCTACAAAAATGGAAAAGACTTTTCACTGAGTATTTTTTAATCCTTTTTAAAATTCTAAACATGTGAATGTATTATATATCCAAAAAACCTTTTTGTATGGTTTCAATTTCCACCACACTGAAGGATGGATTAGTTTCAAAAATACCTCACACAAGAAGTAGCAGGATCCAGATGCTATACTTGCCACTTTAACAAGCCGTACAGACCCTATGCTACTCATGTTTCTATGAAGGCTACACCAAAATAATAGTTTTAAAACCAGAATAGACAAGAACTGTCTCATAACAGAAACAACCTCTAATGATGTTAAAGGAGACTGTGCCCTACAAACCTTCCTGTGTAATTTATAACTAACCAACTCAGTAGTTACTGTATTAGGTCTCCCTGTGGCAGTAAATAGGAAGATGACAATTTTCTTTATGCTGACAACACAGTCATCCTGTGTCTGATGAAAAATTCTCAAAAAGCAGCTATTCTAGGCCTAGCATGGTGGCTCACACTTGTAATATCAGCACCTTGGGAGGCCAAGGTGGGCAGATTGCGTGAGGCCAGGAGTTCAAGACCAGCCTGGCCCAACATGGTGAAACCCCATTTCCACCAAAAATAAAAAATTAACCAGGCATGGTAGTGCACTTTTGTAATTCCAGCTACTCAGGAGGATAAGGCATGAGAATTGCTTGAGCCCGAGAGACAAAGGTTGCAGTGAGCTGAGATCATGCCACTGCACACCAGCTGGGGCAACAGAGTGAAGACAAGACTTTGTATCAAAAAAACAAAACAAAACAAACAATAAAACAGCAGCTATTCTAGATAATTACTGCAAGAAGCAGCAGCTCAGCGTCAGTTACATCAAAACTAAGATCATGTTTGGCAGGCATCTACCTCTAAATAAGTGGTCAATCTTTAAAAATAAAACCACTAAAATAATTCCTAAAGTATCTGGGGGAACATTTGCAGAAATCGTTTCCGAATGTAGTTCTTATGAAATTTAAATGTTCTACAAAAATTACATAAGTTCCTTTTATGGATTAGCCCTAACAACCTCAGGCTAATGTCTTTTCCAAGTCACATGGAACAGGACTGCAAAATCTCAACCATGTAACTGTACAGGTATATACCTGAGAAAATATAATGTCCACTTTTTTTTTTAATTCTGAAAACTATATCAGCTCTAACAGGTCTCCTACAGTAAAGTGTGTGTGGTTCACAAGCTAGCACTTGCCAAATACAAATCACCTGCTATTTGCAATTTAGCATTCAATTTACTCTTCACTCAAAACCCTTCAACATCTTGGTTAAGAGCTTCCCTAAAATTATAAAACATCCATCTCCAAATCTAAAATGTACATAAACTTTTGCATAGCTAGTAAGAATTCTTCATGAACAATCCTCATAACTGTAGTTCCTTAAATAAACACAGAGGGCAGGCTTTTAACATATTTTTTAAGTGAGGCGAAAAAGCAAATTTTTACTTTTCAAATCTTTCCATTTAAAAAAGTACTGGCTAGGTGTGGTGGCTTGTGCCAGTAATCTCAACACTTTGAGAAGCTGAGGTGAGAGGATCACTTGAGGTCAGGAGTTCAAGACCAGCCCAGGTAACATAGGGAGACCCTATCTCTACAAAACAATTAAAAAAATCAGCCGGGCATAGTGGTGCATGCCTGTAGTCCCAGCTACTGGGGAAGCTAAGGTGGCAGGATCACTTGAGACTGGGAGTTAGAGGCTACAGTGAGCTATGATCATGCCACTGCACTCCAGCCTGGAAGGCCCTGTCTCTAAAATAAATAAATAAATAAAAATTTAAAAGTACTTATTTTTTTTAATAAATAGAAGCATACTACATATGCTACTCCACAATCTTTCTGTGTTTAATAATATATCACAGACATCCTTCTACATAAAGACACGAATTAGATTCATCTATCTACCTTATCCTTTTTTTTTTTTTTTTTGAGATGGAGTCTTGCTCCGTCATGCAGGCTGGAATGCAGTGACACAATCTTGACTCACTGCAACCTCTGCCTCCCAGTTTCAAGCAATTCCCCTGCCTTAGCCTCCCAAGTAGCTGGGACTACAGGCACACACCACCATGCTCAGCTAATTTTTTGTATTTTAGTAGAGACAGGGTTTCACCCTGTTGTCCAGGATGGTCTCAATCTCCTGACCTTGTGATCTGCCTGCCTCGGCCTCCCAACATGGTGCTGGGATTACAGGCATTAGCCACCACGTCCTACCCTTAACCTTTTAATGACTGCATTTTATTCCTTTGAGCAAATGTACCTTAATTTTTTTTTTTTTTTTAGACAGGGTCTCACTCTGTCACCCAGGCTAAAACGCAGTGGTGCAATCACAGCTCACTGCAGCCTTGACCTCTTGGGCTCAAGCAATCCTACCTCAGCCTTCCAACTAACTGGGATCACAGGGGTACACCACCATGTCCAGCTAGCATTTTTTTTTAGAGATGGAGTCTCCGTATGTTGCCAAGGCTGAGGTGTTGCCAACATTTGGGTTGGCTCCAGTTATACTCTATGATAATAATGCTAACATAGTATACATTTTTTTTTGAGACAGAGTTTCGTTCATGTCACCCAGGCTGGAGTGCAATGGCCCAATCTTGGTTCACTACAACCTCTGCCTCCCAGGTTCAAGTGATTCTCCTGCCTCGGCCTCCTGAGTAGCTGGGGTTACAGGCACCCACCACCACACCCAGCCAATTTTTGTATTTTTAGTAGAGACAGGACTTCACCATATTGGCCAGGCTGGTCTCAAACTATTAACCTCAGGTGATTTGGCCACCTCAGCCTCCCAAAGTGCTGGGATTACAGGCATGAGCCACTGTGCCCAGTCAGTCTAACTATTTTTATACACTTATTTAAACAGTTTTTTGGATAAACTCCCAGGAGTGGGATAGTGGATCAAAGGACGTGAAAATTCTGAATTCTGATACTGCCACATTACAATCCATAAAGACTATAATTTATTACCAATGTTTTTGTGCTTTCTTGATTATTGTGATGCTGCACAGATTTTCATTAATATATAATGACCATTTGTATTTCTTCTTTTTGGACTTGCTTTTTCATGTGAGAAAGGAAAATTTAGGCCTTACAAGTGCATTTTATAGATTTATCTTGTTGAGGAAACCAAATAGTACCTAAGTATGAGATTAAAGATGGCTCATACAGAATTTGTTCCCTATCTTATAAATGTAATATATAAATGAAACTTGACACACTTAATATTTAGTGATTAAACCATTCATAATATATATATATGTGTGTGTATATATATATATATATATATATATGTACAGTGAGTTGAACAGCATCCCCCTCTCCAACAAAATGCATGTCCACCTGGAACCTCAGAAAATCTTATTTGGAAACAGTCTTGCAAATGTAATTAGCTAAGAGGAGGTCATACTGGATTGAGGTGGGCCCTAAATCCAAAGACTGGTGTGCTGACATGAAGAGAACACACAACGAAGGTGGTCATGTGATAACAAAGAGTTTAGAGGCAACACAAGGTAGGTCAAGGAATGCCAAGGGCTGCTGGCAATTTCCAGAAGCTAGGAGAGAGTGTGGGACAGGTTCTCCTTTCAGAGTCTCCTGTTAGAACCAACCATAATTTTGGATTTCTGGCCCCCTGACTTGTGAGAGAATAAATTTCTGTTGTCTTAAGCCACCTAGTTTGTGTTAATTTGTTAAAGGTAGCCACAGGAAATTAATACAACCAAAAGTGACACGACATTTCAAAAGCCAGGTTACCGAACTTTAAAAAAACTGCCTACTTCCTGAATAACATGATAAAAATTAAAATTAACTTCAAAGCAATGCATTGGAACGTTAAAATTGAAACTATGGAAGAATGCCATTTGTGTGTGTTTACACTGGATAATCACTGGGAGGCACTCTAATTCACCCTCTCCTAACACCTCCATTTAAGAATTCCACTGGACAGATTTCCCTATCAGTGATGAACAAATCTGAGTTCAAGTTGGTAAAAGTACAACTAATAATGGAGCCTTATGATCCTAAACAATATATTACCTAGAGACCTACACAACTTTCTCTCCCTACTCAGCTCTGAAAACTCCCTTGAAACTGCTTTTCAGGTCCAGTGCTTGCCAAGCAGATTTATCTCCCAAAGCAATTGTCTTAGATTCAATTGCCACGAAACAGGCCAGGGAAGTCTCCTCCTCAGGAGAGCTGCCAACCACGTAAAAACGTCAGAGAAGTGACAAATAAAAGGTAAAAGTTAAGTATCATTAGCCAGGTTCTTTGCAATATTAAGACCAGCTGGAATAAAAATCTTGAGTTGAGCCGGGCGCGGTGGCTCAAGCCTGTAATCCCAGCACTTTGGGAGGCCGAGGCGGGTGGATCACAAGGTCAAGAGATCAAGACCATCCTGGTCAACATGGTGAAACCCCGTCTCTACTAAAACTACAAAAAATTAGCTGGGCATGGTGGTGCGTGCCTGTAATCCCAGCTACTCAGGAGGCTGAGGCAGGAGAATTGCCTGAACCCAGGAGACGGAGGTTGCGGTGAGCCGAGATCGCGCCATTGCACTCCAGCCTGGGTAACAAGAGCGAAACTCCGTCTCAAAAAAAAAAAAAAAAAAATCTTGAGTTGAACATTCATTTTCTTGGATCAACTGGATCAAATAGGTTGAAAATGGTGCATTTTATATTCAATATGAGGCTATGAAAACCTTTCACTTCAAAAGGCAAGTTCCTGTAGTAACTGAACAGTATATATCCTCTGAATGATTTATTCCACATAACAGAAGAACCGTCATTTTAGCCCAGTATGGGTTTGGTTCAACAAGGACTTGGATGTAAGTCTATGCCTCATCACTTACTCACTTACTAACTGAGCACTTTGAGAAGTTACTTAACTTTCCTCCTTTTCCTTAACTGTTTTTTGCCATTTTCCTCACCTATAAGGAAATGACATCAACTTCATGGAATTACTGGGAGCATAAGCATCAAAGTACTCAGCATAGTGTTGCAAACATTACCAGGAATCCGAGAGATTTGGATAAGCTTATTAACAAGCGCTCAGTTTAACATATGTGTAAATTAAGGGCCAGCCATTTAATGACTCAAGGCCTTAATGAAAAAGGAACAAAAATAAGATAATGGAGCCCAAGAGTCCCAACTACAATTCCTCTCACCTACCAATTAGATAGCACTTCCTGACATTAGCACATGACCCAGTGTCAGGTTTTGCCATAATCACAAATAAGATGAAAATAATAGCTTTGCCATGCATCATGCTGCCTTCCCTTGGGAAGTTAATTTTACTTAACATTAGCTGACTAATGTCTGGTCTTCCTTTATTTAGCATTTGTATCGCTTGTAAACCAAGAACCATAAGGAGTCTCTTAGAAAGACTACTAATGGATATTAACACCACCATTTCAGATGCAGAAGTCAAGGTAAACTAATTCTGATGGTGGCAGTAAGTCAGGAGTAAAATCTGAACTAGACTTTAAATACTACACCAAGAGATCGTACCATTTTTCTTAAGCATTCACTTGATTTGTAAGTGATTCATTATTTTTAATTCCAAAGATCAAATCACATGTTTAAAACAACAACATCTATAACACACCTTTTAATTTCCCATCAAAGTCAGGGCTTGTGGCCACCTGGAGTCCTGGATGCGGTAAGAGAAAGCAGGTGACATCCGAGAAACATGAGTGAATGTGATTTCGAACATTCTGAATTTCTTCATGTTGATGTTCCTTCACCTACCAATGAAGACCAACAATTTACCAAACAAAAATCATTTGGTTTTCTTCACTAGGGACAACTAGTATAAGGACAATGGAAGGAAGGCTTCTCAACTCTGAGGGATCACAGTCGCCAAATGAGGAAACTCAGAACCTTAAGAAGCAATAAACACATAAATCTGATTACCTATGGCTTGACTCCTATAGCTAACAAACAGGTGTAGAAGAGTTTCTTTAAAAGGAGTATTGCACAATACTTAGGAAGAACAAGGGACAGTTTGTGGGGTGAAGGAGCATCTAACCAATAGCAGAGACAGACAAAAGACTCCTGTGTTTTGGTTTGGGAGAACAGGTTAGGCCTGTTTACTGTTTATATCTATGCCAAAATAAGTAAAACTTCTGAATCAGAATAACTAAAATTCTGAGTGTGACTTCTAAAGGCACATATAGAACTTGGTTTAAAATGTAAAATGGAAATTATAATCAAAGCTTGGGCATCTGCCCAGAATTTTCTTCTACAGTCCCTGTGTATTGTACATACAGGGTCATTAATCTTATCAGGAGTAAATAATATTAGCTTCTGTTAAGATTCATCTACAGTTAATATATTCAATATCATTTTCAATAACTGCTTTAAATACAATAGCCAAAGGTAAATGAGAAAACCATCACTACTTTTAGATAATTCCTCAGAAGATTATAGTCCCACTGACCTGTAAACGCTTATCCAAAAATGCCATTCCTCCTTGTAGTCCATAGCCGTATTCATAAGGGAAACTCCAATCTCTAACCAAAAACATCAGTGTCTATTTAAGAAAAGAGGAGAACATATTTTAAAAATGCATAAACAAATTTTCAAGAGAACAACTGCAATACATCTTTACATAATGCCAGCTTCTGTAAAGGGGGTAAAGATATGTACTGAAGGATGGATTGATTGATTTAGAGAATGGGTCTTGCTCTGTCACTAAGGCTAGCAGTGGCATGATCATAGCTCATTGTAGCCTGGAATTCCTGGGCTCAAGCGATCCTTCCACGTCAGCCTCCCAAGTAGTCAGGACTATAGGCACATGCCACTACATTTTGCTTATTTTTTTACTTTTTTTGTAGAGACAAGGTCTTGCTCTGTTGCTCCGGCTGGTCTTGAACTCCTGGCCTCAAGCAATCCTCTGGCCTTGGCCTCCCAAAGTGCTGAGATTACAAGTGTGAGCCAATACATCCACCCAGATTTATCTATTCTGTAATGTCTTAGAAGTTTTACAAACACTGGAAGGACATGTTTAAGACAAATATGAGGTCAATAAAGGCTATCTGCTATTTTTGTTCCCACAGCTTAGTAGGAACAGAAGGAAGACATTAATGAGAATGGTAAATTTGGGGCTCTGCGTTAAAGTCATCTATGGGGAATATAGTAAAGGACAAAAGAGAAAACCATATGGCACCAGCTAATTATAAAATTGGATCTGCAGCAAGGCACAGTGGCTCACGTCTGTAATCCCAGAATTTTGGGAGGCCAAGGCGAGTGAATCACTTGAGGTCAGGAGTTCGAGACCAGCCTTGCCAACATGGTGAAAACCCATTTCTACTAAAAATACAAAAATTAGCTGAATGGTGGCAATCCCAACTACTTAGGAGGCTGAGGCAGAAGAATCGCTTGAACCTGGGAGGCAGAGGTTGCAGTCAAGGTTGCGCCAGCCTGGGCAACAGAGACTCCATCTCAAAAAAAAAAAAAAATCAGATCTGCTTTTAGTATTAGAAAGGAAGGCCAGGCATGGTGGCTTATGTCTATAATCCCTTCACGTTGGCAGGCCTAGGCAGGCGGATCACCTGAGGTCAGGAGTTTGAGACAAGCCTCGTCAATATGATTAAATCCCATCTCCACTAAAAATACAAAAAATTAGCCGGGCATGGTAGCAGGCGCCTATAATTGCAGCTACTCAGGAGGCTGACGCAGGACAGTTGCTTGAACCTGGGAGGCAGAGGTTGCAGTGAGCCAAGATGGTGCCACTGCACTCTAGCCTGAGCAAAATCTTAGAGTGAAACTCCATCTCAAAAAAAAAAAAATTAGATAAGAAAAGAAATAAGGCTCACACACTGAAGGCATCTCTAATCCTATTGATTGAGGCTGCTGTGCTTCCTCATTCTCAAGAAACACTGAGCTAAAGTTGAGGTCAGCAAAGACCTTTTGGGGAAAGGGAGAGAGAGGGAAAGAGGGAGGGAGGGAGGGAGGGGGAGAGAG